GCAGAATTGAATTTTTCATTTGTGGATGACTTGGATTTAAATTATTTTTCTTAACCTCTGTGATTCCCAGCGATGTGTGAGCACAAAGAACTGGAGTCAAGCTCTAAACCGAACCTGAGATGGAGGGAGGTGTGGGAGCCACCAAAGTGGCTTTATTTCCTTAGGGAAAAGCAGAGGTGACGTGTGGGATAGGAGGGAATCCTCACCACACTCAGCAACTGTTTGAGAAGAAACACTGATTTTTGACTTACAAAGAACCCCTGGACACACAGTTCCAAAACAGCTTCTGAGAAAGTAAATCATATTTCAATTAGGAAACCTATTCCTGGATGTGCCTCAAGGATAAAGGCAGAACTTACATCTTAATTTTTAGTATTTATGGAGTGGTTCAGATGCTCCAAATAATCTGGAATGATTTGGGCACGTAACAACAGACAGCAAAATGCAGAAATTTTTAAGCAGAAATAGCCCCACTGAAATGTCAGTCCTACCCTGACATGTGTAAAACCACCTGTGTACCTTTAAAGGAAAGGAAAGCTTTGATGTCAAGCTTCTTTTTTTTCCTTTCTTTCTGTCTTCTTCCTTTTCTAAGTCTGGAATTTCATTTACTGATTAAACCAGGCCTTTAAAAACCCTTCAGCATTTTCAAAATACAATATTCTGTATTTCAGAACACTGTGCTTTGAAACTGCACTTAAAAATGGCAACGCCATCAGGGGGTGTAAGTGGAATTTATGAAAGGTAACTACATAAAAAGATACATATGAAAAAGAAAAGGTAACTATGGTTCTAATTCTGAAGGACTCGATGAAAATACAGGATTCCCAGAAGTCATGTCTCTCACCAGGGCCCAGAAAAGCCCTTTGGCTGCACAAATCTGCATTTCCAGTCCCCTCCTGGAAAACCTTGCCTGGGAAATTTCCCCTGCCTGGGCAAAGCCCCAGAAGGAGACCAGCAGAGCACAAAGCCGAGGCAAAGCTCTGAATTCCACACTCACTTGACGCTCGGAGTTTTCTTTAAGTGCTTCCAGTGTCTTTTCAAGCTGGGCTTTCTCTTTCATCAGATCTTTACTCAGGTTTTGACTGTTCTGGAGACTTTGCTTCTCTTGGCTCATTTCGTTCTCCAGCTCTTCCAGCTGGGAAAAGAGAGACACGTTTTGGTTTTTTTTTTTAAATGCTCTTAAAAAAAATGACACTTGTGTTACTCTTAGCTTGAAGGCACCCTCACAGGAATCGATATATAAAACACAGAAAAGAACACATAAAGTGGAATTTTCTCATCTTTAATTAGAACAACTAATTTCTTCTGGGAATACATTTACTTCTGCCAGAATTTTCTCCCTGGCTCAGCAGACTGTATCTATAAAGTACTTTTGCACATGTAAAAAAAAAAAGGTCAGGTTTTCTTAGGCTCTGGATATTTCCCCAAGTATCTTTTTTTTTTCCCCTCTTAAAATTCCATTTTACTGAGATTTATACTGCTCCTCCAAGCGCCTCTTAACTTATAAAGGTTGAATGCTGTTTGATCTGACTTAACCGTTTCAAGAGATAATTACGATGATTCCTTGGGAATTCCACGTTAGGTTGGTTTTGTCAATTGGTTCCAACTCAGTGTCACCAGACAGCACAGCTATTTAAAATTTAAAACACCCAAGCATGATTTTTTCTTTTTTTTCCCTTTCTTTTGGTCCCATTTAAGCCATAATAAGTTAATTAGCAGCAACACACACTTTTAAACAATCATCTGCTGGGAGATCTGCCCACGGTGTCAGGTCCACTGTCCACGTAACCCTGCAGAGGGGAATGTTTAGGAGCGAATCACCTGGATGAGACAGTAATTGCTGCTAAATATGAGAAACAGATTGAGAAATTCCACAGTAGGCTGGAATTGGTTCCTCCATAAAGCAATTTGTTGACCTGAATCCCATCTGTGCTTCTCACACCTCTTCCTTCCTTTGGTACCTCCCCGTGCCCCTGGGGCACTGCACAGCAACTCCCAGCAGAAAACTCAGGGAATTAGGGAATACAGGAGGGATTTCTTTCAATTCTCCCTTTTTTATCTTTTTTTTTTTTTTTTTTTTTTTTTTNTAACACACAACATAAACCCCAAACTTAAACTTGGGTTTGATTTGTGCTTTTTTTATCTGTGTCTCAGCAGAATTGAATTTTTCATTTGTGGATGACTTGGATTTAAATTATTTTTCTTAACCTCTGTGATTCCCAGCGATGTGTGAGCACAAAGAACTGGAGTCAAGCTCTAAACCGAACCTGAGATGGAGGGAGGTGTGGGAGCCACCAAAGTGGCTTTATTTCCTTAGGGAAAAGCAGAGGTGACGTGTGGGACAGGAGGGAATCCTCACCACACTCAGCAACTGTTTGAGAAGAAACGAAAAGTTACACTGATTTTTGACTTACAAAGAACCCCTGGACACACAGTTCCAAAACAGCTTCTGAGAAAGTAAATCATATTTCAATTAGGAAACCTATTCCTGGATCCGCCTCAAGGATAAAGGCAGAACTTACATCTTGATTTTTAGTATTTATGGAGTGGTTCAGATGCTCCAAATAATCTGGAATGATTTGGGCACGTAACAACAGGCAGCAAAATGCAGAAATTTTTAAGCAGAAATAGCCCCACTGAAATGTCAGTCCTACCCTGACATGTGTAAAACCACCTGTGTACCTTTAAAGGAAAGGAAAGCTTCGATGCCAAGCTTCTTTTTTTTCCTTTCTTTCTGTCTTCTTCCTTTTCTAAGTCTGGAATTTCATTTACTGATTAAACCAGGCCTTTAAAAACCCTTCAGCATTTTCAAAATACAATATTCTGTATTTCAGAGCACTGTGCTTTGAAACTGCACTTAAAAATGGCAACGCCATCAGGGGGTGTAAGTGGAATTTATGAAAGGTAACTACATAAAAAGATACATATGAAAAAGAAAAGGTAACTATGGTTCTAATTCTGAAGGACTCGATGAAAATACAGGATTCCCAGAAGTCATGTCTCTCACCAGGGCTCAGAAAAGCCCTTTGGCTGCACAAATCTGCACTTCCAGTCCCCTCCTGGAAAACCTTGCCTGGGAAATTTCCCCTGCCTGGGCAAAGCCCCAGAAGGAGACCAGCAGAGCACAAAGCCGAGGCAAAGCTCTGAATTCCACACTCACTTGACGCTCGGAGTTTTCTTTAAGTGCTTCCAGTGTCTTTTCAAGCTGGGCTTTCTCTTTCATCAGATCTTTACTCAGGTTTTGACTGTTCTGGAGACTTTGTTTCTCTTGGCTCATTTCGTTCTCCAGCTCTTCCAGCTGGGAAAAGAGAGACACGTTTTGGTTTTTTTTTTAAATGCTCTTAAAAAAAAATGACACTTGTGTTACTCTTAGCTTGAAGGCACCCTCACAGGAATCGATATATAAAACACAGAAAAGAACACATAAAGTGGAATTTTCTCATCTTTAATTAGAACAACTAATTTCTTCTGGGAATACATTTACTTCTGCCAGAATTTTCTCCCTGGCTCAGCAGACTGTATCTATAAAGCAATTTTGCACATGTGAAAAAAAAAAGGTCAGGTTTTCTTAGGCTCTGGATATTTCCCCAAGTATCTTTTTTTTTTCCCCTCTTAAAATTCCATTTTACTGAGATTTATACTGCTCCTCCAAGCGCCTCTTAACTTATAAAGGTTGAATGCTGTTTGATCTGACTTAACCGTTTCAAGAGATAATTACGATGATTCCTTGGGAATTCCACATTGAGATGGTTTTGTCAATTGGTTCCAACTCAGTGTCACCAGATAGCACAGCTATTTAAAATTTAAAACACCCAAGCATGATTTTTTTTTTTTTCCTTTCTTTTGGTCCCATTTAAGCCATAATAAGTTAATTAGCAGCAACACACACTTTTAAACAATCATCTGCTGGGAGATCTGCACCCGGTGTCAGGTCCACTGTCCACGTAACTCAGACCCTGCAGAGGGGAATGCTTAGGAGCGAATCACCTGGATGAGGCAGTAATTGTTGCTAAATATGAGAAACAGATTGAGAAATTCCACAGTAGGCTGGAATTGGTTCCTCCATAGAGCAATTCGTTGACCTGAATCCCATCTGTGCTTCTCACACCTCTTCCTTCCTTTGGTACCTCCCCGTGCCCCTGGGGCACTGCACAGCAACTCCCAGCAGAAAACTCAGGGAATTAGGGAATCCAGGAGGGATTTCTTTCAATTCTCCCTTTTTTATCTTTTTTTTTTTTTTTTTTTAATTATCTCTTACCCACCCTAAGAATAGTCTTTCACTTGGAACAGCTGCTGAAGGAAAAGCTATTTCAGGAACTTCAGACATTTCATTCCACTGTAATTAGTCAGGGTTTTTTCCCCAAATTTTTTATTTTCTATAAATACCACTGCCTGAATTAGTCTCTCTGATATATATAATTTGAGCAGTAAAACACTGTAGATCAGCACAGGCTAATCTGACAAATTCCTCTCTTCACCTGCTTATCAATTCCTTGACCCACCTTCCTGCTTTCTCAGCCAAGAATGAGGGCACGGGACCAACTTTCCACATGCACTTTCTCCTGCTTAACACTTACAAAAATTCCCGTTCCCAAGTACCCTAAAACACTCTCATTACTCATTACAGCCCAAATATATTAATATTTTTCCCTCAGTGGTGTGATTTCATTTTTTACCATAACGCCATTTAGACCCCCGTAGTACTTGACCCAAAATAACAGCGCTTGAGAAAATCACCCTTTGGAGAGAAAATGGCACCCAACGCCGTGCAAGCTCACACAACAACCCCCTCACCTTTTTGCTGAGTCTTTGGTTTTCCTTCTCCATCTTGAGGATCCTGGAGCTGCTGCCTTCCACAGAGCCCACGGCACTTTGCAGTTCTTCCACTGTCTTCAGCAAACTTTGGTTTTCCATCTCCAGCTTCAGCAACCTGCTCGAGGTCAGCTCGTTCACCTCGTGGCCCAGTGATTTCTGTGGCACTGCAGCAGAAAAGCACCATTATTGTAAAAAAAAAAATAAAAAATAAAAGGGATTTTTAACTGGAGTTCGTGTGACTCTGCATTTTCAGACTTAGGGGATTGAGCAGCCTCTGAAGGCCCTCCGAGGCCTTCTTGGATTAATGAGCCAGCAGATAATACTGCAGATGCATCAAAGGAAACGTTCTGCTCTCCCAGTGTTCCTAATCCCAGCAGAGATTTGTTTCCCACAACTCAGGGGGTGCCTCTAAACTGCCACAAATGCTCTCCACGGGATCCAGTGTATTACCAAGTACATTACACTGGGATAATCCACAGCTATCCCTGCAAACAACTTCTTCTTAACTCTGAGGAGAGCGAAGCCAGAGCAGTCCTGATCTGCTCTGAATGGCAGGCCAAAGTAAGTTCAAGGTGTTGGTGGGGCTTACAGCCCCAGTTAACTGAACAGGAGTGACGAGAACAGACCTCTCATGGAGGCTGTATCTCCAAGGATGCCTGGGAATGAGCACCCCCCTCCAGAGGACAACACACCCTGCCCTTCAGAAACAAGGACCTTTCACTTCCTAGTGCTGTGCAGCCTCTGAGGTGTCAATTGTCCTATTTGGTGGCTTTGCAGGGTTAACTGTTCCGTTTTACCTTCAGAGAGCTCCGTAGTCCTGTTGATCTGCTCCAGCTCCCAGCCAAGGTGCAAAGATTCATCCATGCTTTGCTTCTGAGCCATTTCTAGGGTCATGTTCTCCTCCATCAGCTCCTCGATCTTCTTCCTGTCCATGTCGCGCTCCTGGAAAATGATTGCCCGTGTCAGAAAAGCCCCCGTGTGTGCCCAGGGCTTTGTTCTCTGCTGTGTCACAGACAAGGGTAAACTGCATTTTAGGACTGGCTGATCAGATTTCCTCCCCCCCAGGTGAGATGGGGGAAAAAAAAAAAAAAAGGCAAAAGTAGGGAGAATTTTGGAGCGAAGAGCAACAAGCAGTAAAGCAGAATGTGCAGAGAGGGACCTGTTCTCCTCATACCCTACAGCAATGAGCAATGGTTCTTCACCTTTTCCAAATCCACTTCTTTCCAAAGAGCAGGACAGGGGGTTTCCAGGATAAACACAGCATTTAAGTGACAACAGACTGCCTTCACATCCAAAAGGTTGATCCTATTGCTCTCACTAACGTGTCAGGAAACCAAGAGGCACCTTCCTTCTCTGCCCCACTGTTTTGGAGGTTCTTTTACTAAAAATGGGCACGAAATTCGGTGTGCATCAATTGTCTTGTCCCCCTGCCCTGCCACTTACCATCTCCATGTCGTGCAATTTAGCTTTTAATTGCAGATTCTCCTTCTCTAACTCGTGCAGTTTGTCTGAACGGGCTCGGGTCCCCTCCAGCTGATCTTCCAACATTGTCTTTGTTTCCAGCAGCACTTGATTGTCCTCCTTTAACTCCTGCAAGAATTAAGCAATCAAAAAAAAAATCTCAAATCAAAAGCATTTCCTTGTCCACACAAACTTCACCACCAGTTTTAGAAACCTAATGCCAGAGAGATTCCTTTGGAAGCTGGAACAGACTTTTTATAAAACAACACATCTGGGGCAAGTTCACACAAACCGTAAATTTATGACAACAAAATTTCACATAAAGGAGATTAAACGGTCCCTAAACCACGAGGAGTAAACTAAGGTGCTGATAATTATAACCAAACATGAATATCTCTGTGATTTGAGCCGTGACCTGGAAGATGTCCTGCAGGTACAGCCCATAATTAGGTTAATAGGCCACTGGGCCCAAAGTCAGGCCACGGTGCTGCAAATGTATCCACATCCTTAAAATACAACCAGCCATTCCCAAAGGTCCTGAACAGCTTTAATTTCTGCACACAGAGGATTTCTCTTAATGGCATCTGGTGACAATAACGTGTAGAAATATATAATTGGCGATTCCACTCGTGATACAAAGACAAAACTTCACAAAATTTCAGCACAGTCAGCTGCAAAATCTGAGAAAAGATCAGTAAAACATAAATATTTATCCATCACACTCCTCCCCATACAAATATTAACTCATAATTATTATTATTATGAAGCAAACCCAACTAATTGACAGCTGCCTCTATTGAAAAATCAGATAGTTTACAAGCTTGAAACACATCCACAAATTTTAGGGTTTTTAGTAGTTTAAGCAATCTATGAAAATGAAATTCCCCCTGGTTTCAAATCCTGTACACTAATCCCTTTTCCTCTACCAATTCTTTTATCACATGGCACTTGCCCAGTGAACTTGGCATTTCCAGACAGAATGGTGGGCTGATGAAATCCTGCACATTGATTTGTTTCCTGAGTTATTAATTCATGGAACTGTCAGTCTGCCTCACCTGCTGCCAGCACATCTTTTTTTTAGGGTGTTTTATGCAGGGAATACCACTGTGCTGGACCCATTTACGTGAACAGCCACCATTTCCTCAACACCTGACTTGGAGAAGTGTCTTCCCTTAGGACACCCACGAGAGGAGAGAGAAATGATTGTATTTACAGCATTTTTTAAATGACCCTCTCCTTGGGTTTCTCAGTATACCCCACACTAGCTGTGGTGAATGCTGCTGAACGTTCCTCCCTCAAGAGCGGGATTTGTCCCAACAGCCCGGCTATCACATCCCACAGCCAGGTGCCGGAACACCATTTTCACACCCCAACACTGAAGTTACTCAAATAACTTGCTGTGTGGGGGTTATTCCCACCCCCTGGCCGTACCTCCACTCGGGCTTTGTAGAACTCGATGTCGTGGAGCCTCTCCTTGTAGCGGCCGAGCTCGCTCTCCAGCTTGTCCACGCGGATCGCCTTCTCCCGCAGCGCGTCCAGCTCGTCCCGGTACACCCTGGCCGAGCGCGCGTCCGACAGCAGGGCCATGTTCTGGGAGCAGGGACACAAACACAGCCGCTGCAGCCACCAGCAGGACACGCTCAGCACACACACCAGGCACTGCAGAGCAGCAGCAGCGGCTCATCTCGGCACAGGGACAGCACAAACGGAGCTCGGGATGCTCCACCCGCAGCAGGAACTGCCCAGCGCTCCCGGGAATTTTATACACTCACATCCCACGAGTAAACTAAACACGTGTTTGCCCCCACTGCCAACAACACACAGGCTCGAGGCATAAAACTAAACCAGACAAAACTGATCTCCAGAATACACACTCAGAGGATAGGCTGGTGGCAGACTCTGGAGCGCGGTTTTTGCAGAGATTAAAAAAAAAAGAAAAATCAGAGAAGAAATACTAAGCTATTTTTTTTTTTCAGCATAGTATACCAACTAAAGGAATAAATTACGCCAGATCGTGTTCAGAGTGCAAAATCAAACGAATAATACTGATGGAATTATTAATTATTTATTAATGCCAAAAAAGGGGGAATTGCTCTGGTGGAGGCAACACCTTTTTTGCCCCCCCTTTTTTTTTTTTTCAAACATACCTCTTGCTGAAGTCTCTTCAGTTCAGCTTCCATCTGTTCAAGTTCTTGTTTACAGTCGAGCAGCTGCTCAGTCTTTTCCTCCCTTGAAAGAGAGAACACAAACCAGTTAATTCAACCACAAAACCTGCTAATGATCATCTCCTCTGAGAACCAAATGCTGGTTCGTGACACTTCCACCTTCTAATCCACCATCTCAGGGACATCATGCCCCTCAGGTTTTAGTCTTTAGCTCATCTTGTGAATTTGCTCAGACTTTTCACAGTCCTTCAAGTTGTTCACCAAGATTTCCTGCTTGTGCAGGGTAGAAAACAGAGTGTAATAAGGGAATTTTTGTAAAAAATCCCCAAAGAATACACATGAATACACACCAGGAGATTCACATCCAAAAGGAAACTCAGAATTATTTCCAAATATACCCTGGAAAGGTCTAAATATTTTCCAGTGACCACTGATGCATCCTGTCACAGGCCACGTAAAACCAGCTTTAAAAGCACTTCTATACTTTAGTTCTGTAATTTTTCTTTTCCTTACAGAAGAGAAATAAGATTTGCAGGTGCCTCTACTCAGCTGAGTAAGACTGTGCTTAATAACCTCAAGGATTTCACGAAACACATAATGAAGTTTAGTTTTACGGAAACAAGTGTCTTAAGCTGCTCAAATCTGTGATAAATCCAATTTGTCAGAGGACATCACAATTCTTACAGGACTCCTCCTTGAATTCCAGCTGACACGTACTTCTCAATCCTTCCAAAATGAGTTTGTCAGGCCATGAGTAAGGGCAAGGGAAATGATTAACTGTCTCAAACGATGCTCAATATTCAGCTGCACCTCAGAACGCACAGAATCTGCTGCCCCATCCTACACTGTATAACCTTACAGGATATAGTGCAGATTGAAATTCATTCTGGAATGAATGGAAGAGTTACAGAAGTGGGCAAGGGGGAAACCAGAGAATTGAATGGACTGAAACGTACGATGCAATCTGAAAGCCAAACCACACTAATAAAAAATAGATGTGTTTTAAAGCAAACCAGAGCAGTTGCTGTCAGGACCGAGCCAGTTGCCCCCCGAGTGAGGTTTTTGCAAGCAGCCATTGTTTGGGAAAGGTCAGTGAGCTCCAAACTCAGCTGAGTGCAGCATCCCTGCCCACAAACACGAGTGTCCTGCGTTCCTGGGGCTCCTCCAGGACCATTCCCACCGCTGTCGCCGTCCCACACGGCACACCAGGGGTGCCATTCCCAGCTCCAGGGTTCCTGTGCTCCCTGCTTTGCATCCAAGGGAGAGCCAATCTTTGCAGGCCGTCTCAGGTGACGTTCCAGCAGCCTGGGTGTACGTTAAACCAGGTATGGAGGGGCAGTGCCAAAGCCAGATTAGAAGGAAACGTTAAGCTGAATATTTGCGACTCTGGAATTCACGGGATTTCACATCAAATCAAATAGATGCAGCATTTACCAGGGAATGCTGCAGCCAGAAGTTAATGTGGCCAAGTCTGGTGTTTTAAAGACGCTGCTGCACGCAAAGGAAATTTATTTAGGGACTGAATTCAAATCAGAGTGTAAAATGTGAACTGTTCTGAGCCATCAGCGCTGCCCTAATTGCATCCTTCAGCTCCACGCTGGAGAGGATTGGACTAAATTATACAGAAGATCCCAGTGTTCACTGTTTAGGCTATCTATTAACTGTCAATCAAACTAATAACAGCAATTTTTTCACTAATTTTCTTGGTGCAGCTGTTTATAGAATATCCTGGGCGGGCTCATTTCAGCAGACACACAATAATACAGACATCAGGGAAAAAGAGCCCCCTCTTTTGTCCTCTGTGCCTCGGGAACACCACGACGTGGTGGGGGAAGGGGATCCGGGGAGTCAATCAACAAGATACTTAATCCAGCCAGCTAGAAATGATCTGATCAACAAACTCTGACACCAGCAGGGCAGCACACTGGCAACTGGGACCTGTGCACCTTCAGCTGGTAATTTAATTTACCTGTCTCCTCTCTCTGCTGGATTTAAAAAAAAATAATCTTTAAATAAAGCTGTTTCTGCACTATAGCAAGTGACTGCACATGCTGAACCTCTTCAGGTTGGACAGCTGTATTCTTAATGCACAACACACACTTCACTCTGCTGAAACAACAGATTCCCCACAGGTCTGTTATTGTTCTCCTCTTTAAACAGCTCTTCACTCTGCTCAGATTTGTTCCCAGATCTAAAGACAAAGCACCCACTGATACCTGCTGGATCAGGAGCAGCCTGCAGGAGAAAACAAGTGTTGTGCAGACAAGAAACCTTTTACACAGAAAGAAATGAAGAGATGGGGGACAGGAAGCTACTCCAACGGAGATTTTTGTGCTGTCTGCAACAAATGTAAACACTTCACGAACCGTGAATGAACCCAAGGTGTGTTTCCAACACAAAGCAGGTCCCAATCACCCTGCTGAGCAGGAACCACTCCTGCACCATCTCCTCTTAAAAAGGGTGCTTTTGCCACTGATCCCTAAAGGGTCAGCACACAGCTCTTGCTTCCAGTCCCCACCTGCCTGCCCTGTGTAATTGCTGTCGAGTGTGCCACCCCGTAGCTGCCCCAACTGCGAAGATACTCTCTCAGGGACACAGCTGAGCACACAAATACTGCAACTGCAGTCAGGCACTCATTAGTGATAATGAACAACAGAGGAGGCACAAAGAACTTGCCTCTGAAACAGCAATATTTACAAACTATGGAAAAGCAGAAGGGCTGCGTTAAATTAGCTGTGAGTATTTCTGAGAGACGAGTTCTGTGGAGCAAGGAGCCCATCCCTGCGCTGGAACTCACTCCAGACACTGCTCCAACACAGCCAGCTTTTCAGGGTGCTCTGAGCACCAGAGACACAGAGCTGGCACAGACTTCAGCGTGTTTATGGCTAAGACATCCCTGTGATCCAGAACACAAACCCAGACAAGCACAGATGAGAAGCTGTATTGGCCACGTGGGCCCACAAACCTGTTCCAACTATAAAATACTCTTCCAGACCATCCCTGTCGACCGGTGATTAACCATTGGGAAGGACGAAGGAATTTGTCCGAAGGCCACTCCCAGCGTGTGCAAAAAGGAGCCTTTTCACCCCAACACAGGTACTCACAGCTCTTGCCTGAGCCTCCTGATCTTGGCTTTGGCATCTGCCAGCTCCACCGAGAGGTGCTGCCGGCTCTCCGTGCGCTTCATGCCGGGGGAGCCGCACGGCGACTGCGCTGCCGACGCGTGGGGCAGGAAACGCAGACAGTCCCGCTCCTCAGACAGCTCGATGATGGTCTGCACAGCACAAACACAGACACAGAGGGAATACACCACTGCCTTCACACACACCCGCTCCATTCACAAACCACGCTGCAGCCGTGCAGGAACAGCAGGAAGGGTTGGAGCCCTAGAGAAGTTCAAAGCCCTGCTTGCACCCCCACACGCAGAAAGCAAAGAGCCACAGGTATTTACCAGGATCGTTTGGCTCCTTGATTTTTAACTTTCAATTTAGACATTTTTAAGTGCACAACGTTGTCAGCGCTCAGGATGGATTGGGCAGGGAAAGGCAGGAATCCCTGGGACGTGAGGATAAATGTGTGGCTCTGAAGATGCTCTCAGGAAACAGCAGCATCCCTGCCAGCTGAGTGAAGCACCAGACCCACAGGAACATCCTTATGTCCTCAGATAAATAAGGGTGTTACTCAAATACGAAGATCTTTGGCATTTTACAGCTATTCTTCCTTTGCTTTGCAAAAAAGCATCACCACACATCCTCTACCCTCCTGTCGAGGCTGTGAACTGCAGAAGTAGTTGCTATCCATCCAAAGAAACATTGGGAATAACTGTACATCGACACATCCACACTGCACTGAGGGGAAACCTGGGGCCAGCAAGATGGTTCATAGCCTGATTGTTATTCAACACATCTCTGTTCCTTCACTCTCACACGGCACAACAAACGTGCCTCACGACAATCCTGGCCTGGTGTTCCCCTCTCCAGCCCCAACCCGTACCTCGGAGTGCTCATCTCTCTCATCTATCAGTCTTTTCAAATGCAAAGCCATGTTCTTCAGGAGAGGTTCCACGTACTCCTGTGTCAACACAATGACATCCATCCACTGCAGATCAAACACGTTCTCCTGGTTGTGAGTTACCTGCGTGGGACGGAATGAGAGAGGAAAAAATGCCCTCTAGAACTTGTCAGAGTAGAAAGGAAGCACAGAGAAAATAAAGCTGCAAGCCTAGGGGTTAAATCCTCTAGACAAGGGAAGAAAATGTTAATATATTAATTTAATATGTTAAATTGTATGTAATGGAAGAGCTGCTTGGCTACCTGAAAGCAGCCCCTTGTACCTCTGGCAAAGCAAAAAGCAAAAGGTGGCTGTGACTTAATAAATATCACAAACATGGGACTGGGATTATATTTGATAAATAAATCTGCAGAGGAAAGTGTCATTAAACTTCATTTGCTGTAACTCTTAAGAATGCCTTGAAGCAACAGACTTGCTTCCTGGTACTGCTTCAACAGTGAAACCCAAAAACGTTTTTTCCCTTGATTCACAAAAAGATTTCAGGATGGAGCAAAGACTTGTTTTGCTTACTGAGACCCCTAGATATGCAAATCACACATTTGATTTACCTGCTTTTGAACAAATGCAGTTCATCTTCCTACAACGCAGTCTCACACCTCAAACAAACAAATAAATTAAAAGCACAAAACCAACCCCCAACATACCTCCTGGATGTGGGCTGCGACAGCTGCTCTGGTGTCAAAATCCAGGCCCTGGATTCTTTCAATAAACTCTTCTTTTTTCTGACACTAAAACACAAAGACACCTGTTTTATATACATTTATAGATATCAGCACAGGTATTTCCATTCCTCTTTTCTATTTCTAAGATTTAAGACTTATAAAGCTGCAACGATCCCATGAGTGAATTATTATCCCCTTGGTTTATACCAAACTACAGTGATTATAACTTTTCAACACTAATTTAATGATAAGGGAAAAGCAGGCTGAAATGGGGCAAGGAAATAATAAAAATAGCTCCTTATTCAAATGTTATGACAGCGTGTTTATTAAATACATTAAATAGATGCAGTAAGATGTATCAGCAGGGTAATTCTTCAGTACTTTACTGTTTTCTTCCTCTCTTTACAGCATCAGGTAGGTGAGCACTACTGAAGTGAATGAACTATTGGAAATTCCATGTTTTGTGCAGTAAGAGGTGCAGGGTTGTAGCCATTTTAACTGTGAGAACACTGAGATTTTGGTACCACTGGAGGAAGGGAGGTCAAAGTTTTACACCACCTCAGGCATTAAAATGGTGAGAAAAAAGATCAGTAACAGCTAAAACATTCTCATACAGATAGAAACACAATTAAACCCACCTGAACTGCACAACCAAGTAAAAGCAGGAGGAGCTTTTTGACTTCTTCAGTACCTGGCTCTAAGGAGAACACAAGAAGAAAAAATGGGAGGTGTAAAGGAGTAATTTGAGCTTCTTCCCCTACCCCTCAGAAAACATCAGGATTCCTCACTATTTCCACCTTGTTTGGAAAACAGACAGAGGAGGAAACCCCCATCTTCCCACCTTTCAGCTCAGCCCTTTCTGCCATTTCCCTGTCCATTTTCAGAGTTAAGAATCCAACATCCATAAAACAATGATTTCAAATGGACAGAAAAAACCCAACACAAATTCAGCCCCTCGAGAAGCAAAACTCCAGAGTGCCATTTTCAGAAGTGCTCTGGAGATCTAAATCAAGTTTTCAGTGGCAACCTCAGGTACCTCCAGACAGTGACACCAGTGCTTAAATTCCCTGCCACCCCCAAGCTGGGACAGTTTAGGTGACAAGTTCATTGAAACTCTTTCCCAAAGCTGCATTAGATATTCATCTGCACATCTAAAAATCAAAATGTATTTCCAAATCTGGCCTTAAGCATCTTAATCTCCCAAAGAAGCTTAAGTCAAAGAACTCTGTTTACAGATTAGTAAAAACATGTTTCTTACTTTTTTACATTCGGAATGTCCCTGTCTTGCTACTAAATATAGAAGTGCAGTCTATATCTAGAATTTAAATGCCATGAAGCAAAGCCTTCGAGGAGGGCAAAATAGCTCAGGCCTTGACTCAGCCCACTGCTTCCAGAGGGAGCTAAATTATGGGGATAATCCCAATGAACACAGAATGTTTGATTTTTGTTTTTTCAAGGGAGCTTTGCCACGTTGTGAAGAACATGAACTCAAATGGGAGGTTTTTAATCATTTATACACTGCCTGTATCCCAAAGACTCGAGCTGGGAAGCCTTTTAGGTAGGAACAGAAAAAAACATCACTGGACGTGTTTTCCCAGAAGCCACTTTGGCTGAGGAAGGGGAATTCCACCTGGCTGCCTGTCTCAATGAAGGTTAACTGGAATACTGTAACAGGAGAATCCATCCCAACAGCTCATATCCTACACATCCCAGTAAATTAATCACACTGTTTTATTTTGCAAGCAAGCCCTGAACTCCTCTTGACTCACCAGCTCCTGGCTGGCTTTGGAACACCTACCTGAATATTGTTTCCTTGTCTTTGTCCCACCTTCCCTGAAGGAACACTGCAAAGTATTGACCAGCCCCAGCCTCCCTCTGCTGCCAAACGTGCTGAATGCTTTGCTTCCTTTCCCTCCACCACGAATGCAGAAATAATCACTGTCTTCTACACCCTCCAACTTGCTGCTTCAGCTTTGTCCCTGCCCCGTGCTCACTCTTATCCCTGCCTTTCCCTCCTCCCCTGGATTGCTCCCTCAGAATCAGGGCCTTGCTTTAATCTCCCCCCTTCCCCCGTTAAGGACCCTTTGCCTCGTCATTACCTCCTCTCCCCTTTCCCCCTGTAATTTAATTTCCCATTTCCAGGCTGCAGCTCCTCTCCTCTGACTGGCTTCCTGCCAGCTATCTGAGATGTTTCCTGATGGAGTCCCCGCTGACCCGTTTGGTCAGAGCCCAAACCCAGCGTTCCACCTGCACCTTCCCGGCCACCTCCCACCCTCACCCCTCATCTGCTCCTGCAATTCCTCACCTCCTGCTGCTCATTCCCTCAGTGCACAGTGGTGAAGAGGGGAACAAGCAGGAGACACTCCTGGGAAAACTCCCAGCTCTGGCTGGAGCGGAGCAAATCCCAATGATTATCAGAGAATGGACTTGCCTTGGGGAAACCAGATTGACACTGCGGGTCTCTCCAAGGGAGTAACAGCCCTGCCCTTGCCCACCAAATATAGCTCAAAACCCAGCTGGAAATGATGACACAGCGAGCCCTGGCTTCCAAAGGGCAGAGGTTCTGGATGGAACCCTGGCTTCCAAAGGGGAAAGGCTGTGCATGGAACCCTGGCTTCCAAAGGGGACAGGCTGTGGATGGAACCCTGGCTTCCAAAGGGGAGAGGCTCTGGATGGAACCCTGGCTTCCAAAGGGCAGAGGCTGTGGATGGAACCCTGGCTTCCAAAGGGGAGAGATTCTGCATGGAACCCTGGCTTCCAAAGGGGAAAGGCTGTGCATGGAACCCTGGCTTCCAAAGGGGACAGGCTGTGCATGGAACCCTGGCTTCCAAAGGGCAGAGGCTGTGCATGGAACCCTGGCTTCCAAAGGGGAGAGGCTGTGGATGGAACCCTGGCTTCCAAAGGGCAGAGGTTCTGGATGGAACCCTGGCTTCCAAAGGGGAGAGGCTCTGGATGGAACCCTGGCTTCCAAAGGGGAGAGATTCTGCATGGAACCCTGGCTTCCAAAGGGGAGAGGCTCTGGATGGAACCCTGGCTTCCAAAGGGGAGAGGCTGTGCATGGAAGCCAAAGGACCAGGCCTATCTCCTGGTTCAGACCTTGCCCCGTGCTGGACTGGGGCAGGAACCTGGGACACCTGCAAGGATGGTGCCCAAACATGACAATCCTCTTTCAGCACGAGGGCTGCGCTACAGGGAAGGGCTGATGATCTCCCAAATCCAGCAGGTCCCCTCAGGAGAGCAGTGCACACACCAGCAGAGGTTCCAGCTGCACAACCACAAAGGCTGCACAGATTTAGCTGAGACCCCAAAACACAAAGACACCTCCTTATTAATGACTAAAGCACAGATTTTTCTATGGATGCAACTAAATACAATATTATCTCTGGGAGGGTTTATAGTGCATTTTTAACAATATTTCATCTTACACTACACAATAGAGACACTTTGTCTCAGTGTCTTGGAGAGAATAATAAACATCACTAAAAAATTCTACCACCTGGGGTTTTTTTAACTCTGCTTTTTCCATTAAATCCATGGAGTCTTTCAAAAAAACCTTTAAGAAAGCCTGGAATCAAAATAGAAAAGCATTGTCTTGGAAAAGAAGAGAGCACATTGACACTTCTTGTGCATATGACAGCAGCTACACACAGAGAAAGAAACTCAAAAGGCTGTGACCTCAGCAGCAAAAGCAGCAATACCCAAAAGCAGCGAGTCAAAAAGAATTAAAAAGCGAGATACCTACACCAATGGCACGTGTGCAGATGGGATGGGGGAAACAGCAAGGTTATGAACCTCGGGATTGCAAAGTGAGGGAACACAGATGGCTCTTCTGGCTCATGAGGAAGCCCTGGTGTCACAGACACGGAAGCATGGATAGGAGACATCCCAAAAACACGAAACAAGCCAGGGGAAGCTGCACAGCCTGCTAGAGGAGCTCCTAACCTCTCTGCTGAGGTGTCAGAACATCAGGAGAGCCTGGGACACACTAGACCCAAGCAAATAAACTCTGCCCCATCCAGAGTGGCTCCGTGCAGGCCAGGTGTGTCTGCTCCGTGCTTCTGGAATTGAGAGCAGGGTGCAGAGATTCCCCAGAGGCCGTGGACAGGCAGCTGGCTCCACACAGGCCAATTGTCCTGCGCTGAAAAGGGCAACTCTCAGAGCTGGAAGCAGAGAAGGTGGGAGCATGGAGAAGACAGTGTCAGTTCAGGGGAGAAAGCAAGAAGGTCAGAGCAATAACTGTCAGGTAAGGATGCAAGAGAAGCAGGGGGTTTGGGG